TATCGTAAACTGACTATATATCAGCATATATTTAAATACTAAATCCAAAGCACAAATTAACTACAAAATTTAAATTATCAGTTAACTCGGCTTCGGACTATTTCAAACTCTAATACTAATACATAGGTTCACTAGTTTTCTTGCCAGTTAAAATTGGATGAAAATATTTCAATTTATTTGCGCATCACAGTAAGTAACATTTGTTGCTATATGACAAACTCAAAATACATTTCCTGGCATATATATATATATATAAAACAAAAAAAAATTTACAATCTACTGAAGTCTACCTCTCAACTTCTTTATGGAAAATTAATTCACAGCAATGTTAATGAAAGTTCACCAAGCTCCAAGAAAAAAACCTTATTTATGGTCAAGATATATTATATCAAGTTTTGACGTGTGATGAAAAACAAGTTTAAATTAGCCTTATAATTTTTCTTTTTGATTTTAAAAACATTGAAACTCCTGCCCAAAACAAACTTACTTGTGATGACATATTTCTTCCTGACCCATAATTAGCAGCATCTATGAAGTTTTCATTTTGGCTGCATATAGAATCTGAGTAACAGTCTGATCCAATATTCTTTTTTGTACCAATCTTATCAAAGTTGTAACAATTATAATGACATTCAGAAGAACCATTTCCTATAGAGACATGAGCATCTTCTGAAATTTTGGGTCCCCAAGCTCCTGGTGAAGCAATATCTGATGAGCTGAAAGAAGAAGCAAAAACATTATTTTATAATTTGTTGCTTTTTACAAAATGTGAGCTATTATAATTATCATTCTTTTTTTAAAGAGCTTAAACATAAGAGTAGTGTTAATGTGTAATAATTTATGTAGGCACTTCACAGAATAAAAAAAATAATTCAACAGAACCAATGCTTTTACTTTACATTCACTAAATACAGAGAGATGAATGTGTTATGTTAATGGGATTTGGGAGTCTGACAATGTTTTATAGTCTAAGTTGCTATGCTTGGTCATGCTCTATCTGATGATCATGCATCTTGACAACTGCATGACAATGTAGTTTCCATTACAAAAGGTTCTGATGTAAGATAGTCATGTCTAAAGCACAACCACTCCTCCATGAAGGTATAAAGATGATGTTTCCCAGTGGTTGTTTCAACAGTCCAATTGCATAAAAATTCAAAGGTGCTACATCCAGCAACTTGTCTGACAAGTCTTCTTATGAAACAGCATGCATACCCAGTTCATTCTCCATCTGCTTGAATTAACATGTTTTGGAAACAATTTATGTAAATGCAACCTGAGTAGTTTTCCAAGATACAGATCGTTCTTCATTGGGCATTGTTGCCTGGGAACATGGATGGTTTTTGCCACAGACTTTTGTGTACATGGATTCTCACCTGTTACAAAATTTCCAATTTAACACACTTTTATGATCTGAGTGTATAAATATTTTGTATTGGAAAGGGCTTTTACATACAGTTCTCACAAATTATTAATTTTCAGTGTCATCACACTACCTACAAGCTGCTACACAATGTAGTTCTTATACATTCACTTCCACCAAAACCTGATAGCTGATGGTGACTATCATGTGACTCGGTGATTTGCATATTTAAAATCCTTTTAATATAACATACTCATACCTCTGTAGAATGTACTCAACAAGTATTCTTAGCTGAGAAAATGACAGCGAAAAATTAACTTAGCTTGATGTTTCTATCTATTTATATCTATCTATGTATAAATAATCTGGATATTCTCTGTTAAGAGAAAAAAAGTTAAAAATAAAATGATCTGCAAAATAAATGACGTATGAATACATTAGATATATTTCTCAAAATGTAATAAATTTTCAAATTGTAATTTTTGACTTATATTTTAAAAACTAGTCTTAATTTTTGCTAAGTTTGTTCTAAGGGTACAGACAAATGATGGAAATAGCAAATATTAATCCACTAGTGGGTTAACCTATCCCATACGTTTGAAATTACAACTACACACTCTAGCTATTCCTTGTGCATCTGCCTTTGAAATTTTGCACATGCCACTAACTTTGAGCTATCTTCTACCAAACTTCGCTAGTGCATGATGTAATCCCCATACAACAATAGCCTTCCATCAATAAGGTGACATATCCTCCAAGCACAGTAGATCCTCATAAGCATTTGAACTCAAAATTAATTTCATTCTAATATGATGCAAGAATAATGTGCACCAGCAGTGGAGAGGAAAGGTGAGAAGGTGTGAAGAGAGGTAAGTATCTATTGGAAATGTATTTTCAGGTAAGGAAAATGTTGACTTCCAAACCATCCACTTACCTCTCTGCATACTATAGCTAGAACTCCACATTGATGTGGTGAAAGGGTTGGTGCAATTGCAAAAACATAGATGAGAATGCACCTAAGAGGAAAGCCCATGGAGTGCGAGACCATATAGTAGGGGCTTAATAGATGAGTAACTCTCACGGGAGACTACATCCATATCATGCAGGGCATACTCTTCGTCCACATGGAAGTATGAAACAAGGAAGGCAAAGAAGCCAATGTAGCTCACGGACAGATGAAAAAGTGTATGACCAACTAAGCATTTGTACACAACAGGACAGTTGGATGCGAGGTGTAGTGTGGCTCGGGTAATAAACAGACTGTACAGTTTGGTATATGGTCTGTTATATCATTTACTCACCATACATACAGGACAGTGGACAAATGTTCTTTCCTGTCACAGGATGGGAACATTTTGCTCCATCCAGCTAGTCAAACCACTAAGAAATTAACATATAAAAGAGTGGAGACTTGCACTACACTGATATGGACACCCCTGTCCTACTTCACACTGCATTGTGCTGCTAACTTGAACCCTCTCAGGAGGAGGGACAGCACAACCAGTGGGGAACTCTTCAAGCTGAACACCTCAGCAACTAGGAACTGGAAGTGGCAAAGGCCTCCCATACTCCACTTAAAGAATAAGGGGGAAGAATTTGCATTAGGAATACATCAGAGAGTTGCCCAAACCCAATCAGACCTAACTACCTCAAAGATCTTTTACTGGAAAAAGTGCAATGGGTAACCACAAAACCTAATTTGAAAAGCCAGCATTGATGAGCCAAGAAAGTGGGAAGACAGTTCCCTGGTGCTGGCTTCTTCAATGTTAGTCAATGAAAGGAATGATCTGGAATGTGGTCTTGCAGAAAACCCTATCTCAACAGTGGGAAAAATTTGGAGTCAGGGTGGATGAGTTTAACATTTTCCATTACCCATGACACAATGCGGATTTACAGAAATAAGATGAGAGAATCTTGGAAGAAGAGGAGTTTCATGGCAAGAATAAATGATTGTGAGAACCCAAAATGAACTATACTTTTTCTCTACTTTACTTCACTTGACTTGCATTCGCTTGTTCACCTACATTTATATGTTGCCCAACTGAGGCCTCAAACTCTCTCTAAACTACACGAGCACTCTATCACTTCTACTTAAAAATTTATATGTATATTTTACCTATTTCAACAATTTTTACTCCAAATTATTTTAGAATCAAAATTTTGTCATTTTCTAAGAATTATACGATGTAATTCAAAGAAAAATCAAAGAAATGTTCATTTCTGCACAGCTCAGAAGCAAAATAAACAATGCACTTGTAGATTTTTAAAACAAATTTCTGCCCATCACAAAAAAAGTTTTTTTTTTGCTAATAAACTATCATTCCTTGAGATTATGTTATCCAATTCTTGAATATCTGCTTATTTTTTGTACGGGCCTTGGTTGCCATTTTTTTTATGATGTCACATCAAGTGGCTTGGTCATTTACTAATGAAACACCACCTTGGAAACAGCTATCAAGTAAGTCTGAATATAATTGGATAGATCAAGAATTAGACTTTAAGTCATAGTAAGTAAATAAAGTGGTTTTAGCCTTAGTTTATAGTTTAGTGGGAAAGTTTCTAGTCTGAATACCTATAGCATTAACCTAAGGCATTCAGTGGAAAGTTCTTAAGACTTATGAACAAATAATAGGCTACTTAATTTATAATTGTAATCTTGATATAAATAAAAACATTACTGTTATTATTGAGAATAAAACATTTTTGTTAATTGATTTACATTAAATCAATAGAGATATCACTGCATATTTTAGAAACAATCAAAACAGTGATTACATAGTTGTCTTGAAATTAGTAATTTACCAAGTAGCAACTGTTCAGATTGTCGTTAAAAAAGTTTTTGACAAAATAAGTTTGTTCTTTTCCCATAAAATGCACAAATAGAAACAGCCAGAGAAAACACTTAGATGTCTATTATATTAAAAGAAAGGTAATTCCAAAATATCTTTTAACCTTTTCACAATGGGGTGATACAATTCACGTCACCTCGACTGGGTAAGGACATTTATGCAACAATACATACAGTAACTCTCTTGAAATATCATCACAAAACCTGGTAATGTTTTGTTAAAGATGTTAAGCATCTTGTACACAAAAATGACTATTTTAATTACATCTTTCTAATAAAAATATGCTATTTATCTATATTGGTTATTTGCATTCAAACTCTGAATAGTTCGAGTGCAAGGTGATTTTCATTTTAAGTTTAAAAATACTTTTCTTCGTCTTATAGTTTTCATATTTCACTTGCATAACCTCTAGAACCTCCTAAATGAATATCAAAAGTTTTTTAAGGTAAATGTTTGTATTTTATTTCTCATTTTTTCTGTCATATCACTAACTCTTGCTATTATCATCAACATACAATACAATGAAATGATTAAAATTAATAAATAACAAAATATATATATATATATATATATATATACATATTTAATTTTTGTAAGTAAAATACTTAAAGATCTTCTTTTAATTATATACATAATTTCAGGTCTTTTACTCTTCACATAATTAATTTTTAATGTTTTATTTTCCTTGCTTGTCCTTTACTATTTATTATTCATCTCAACACAAGTCAACAGTGCCCTTGGGGCATTACAGTATCGTAAGCCTTGAGAACTGATGCAAAGTATGATGTATATTTAAAAAATGTTTAAACCTTTCAATTATGCATTTTAAAATATGACTAATACATAATTAACAAATATATAAAAAACTGCATGCCAATTTCAAAATAACCAATGTTGGATTATAGTGTAAAATGAGATCTTGCTAATGACTATATACATGTGTATGTAACCACTAAATGTGGGCTATAAACTCAAACAAATCTATTAAAGGTGGACATGGCACCAGTCAGGGGTTGACAAAATATATTACTTGTTTCAATTGAATTCATCCAGAGAACTTTGAAATGTATGTGTCAATACGTTAAGTAAACATTTTACTGTCTAGATGTACATCTACAAAACTGCCATTATATTATTGAAGATAAAGAGTGGCAAAATAGAGAATTTTCATAACTTGTGGATCATGTGACAATAACATCTGAATTTTTAAGCAGTTTTTTTAAAGGTTTCTTTTGAAATGTACATACAGTTATACAAGTAATAAATTTTTTCTTTATAATCACATTCCAAAAATACTAACAACAGATTCTTTTGCATATGACAAATAATATTAAAACAGTACAAGTATTTCAAAAATGAAGTAGACAAGACAGCTTATAATAGAACTTACCCAAATAAATGGCAGGCAAAATCAGTATTGGTTAGATGTGCTGTCAGTGGATCTCCTACGTCGAATGAACCATTAGCAAGAAGAAAATCATCATCAACTATCTTTGACACCATGTCCCATACAGATTTTTCACTGTTGTTGTAAATAGGCTCAATTCTTTCTTCAGAGTGACTCACTCCATCAAAAAAGTAATTCTGAAAAAAATCAACATAACCTATTATGTTGAAAAAATGCTACAGAACCTAATCTTTAAAATATCTTTTATTTTTATACTTTTGTGTTATGAAATTTAATTTTTTATTTTTTTATTGTTGTGTGATAAATGACAAATGTGTTGTATGACAAATGCATAATTAATTTCAAACTATCAGGCAAGACAAACATCTGCACAAAATTATGTTTCTTTAAGTATTCAATATTATCTAGTTCTTATATATTGAAACATATTAAGGTTCATCTACTAAATGAGAAATAGAAAAAAAGTTTAACTCCAAGCAGAGTTTGCTACTCTGGTGGCAACCAAATGGACAGCCAAACAATAAATAGCATTGTGTATGTAGTTCCTAAGAAAAGGCTTTCTTGAAAAATGTTTCACTAAGTAGTAAGAAAAAAGTCCCAAGTATTTTTTTTTTTTTACGTTTCTTCCTTTTGCAATTAGTTGTGAGACAAAATTTGTGTTAATCTCTTTAATTAGAGCTGGGTGATAAGTAGAATTTGCTAAATGATAAATTATCAGGCTCATTAATCAATTACATTCAACTAACACAAGACTAAATCATCCTATTTGTTTTGGGATTTGATTTAAAGACATTTTGAACTACCATTTAATATAAGATATCTTTGGGTACAACAATTTTTTAATCCTAAACTGATGTACATGAAAATATGTCCTCTACACAATGTAGTTCAAAATCTATAACAAGCTGAAAATACAATTTCTCCCTACAAACTTTTACAGGACTACTAAAACTAAACAAATTCTTTGTTAAAATAGTTGTCATTAGATTTCATACAATACAACTAATAAAGATTGTTGTCACATATGTCATAGATAATATATAATTCAGTGAAACCAAATTCACATCAATCCTAAAACAAAACAAAGATGGAACAATGGTTACAACTGTCAAGAAAACATATGATGCTACTACATTAAAATGATTCACAAGGTGGAAATCAAAATATTACAAAAAAAATTCTAAAATCATGGTAATATGACAGATATTCCACAATTTTTCTAATTCCATTACCAGTGTAAAAAAGACAAACAAAAAACTAACAGCTTTATAAGTATAAAAAACATCATAAACTCTTAAGCAAGAAGTTGATATGGAAGAACGTTTGTAGGAACACATTGAAATGATTAATATGTTAAAATTTTAAAGCACAGACTGGTTGAAACTGTAGAAACATTTTGCCAAAGGTTTGCCTATCTCTACACAATATACTGTAATATGCCCTGAGGGCACCCATTGGTGTCAAGAAAAAGTAATAAACTGTAAAGGACAGGAAAGGAAATAAAACATTAAAAAATAAACTAAGTGAAAAGGTGAAGACCTGAAATTACGAATATAATCAAAAGAAGATATTTTAAGGTCAATTGAGAGAGTTAAAAGGTATGTACATATTTCTATTTCTTAATTTTAAACATTTCATTGCACCTTATGTTCATGATAACAGCTACAGTTAGTGATATGATAGAGAAATTGAAAAATGAAAATATAAACCTTTACCATAAAAAACATGATATTAACTTAAGAGGTTCAAGAAGTTATGCATATAAAATTTGAAAACTGTAAGATAAAAAAAATATTTTTTATACTAAAGATGAAAATCATTTTGCACTGAACTATTCAGTCTGAGAGCAAATAACTATAATAAATAACAAATCTTTAATAGAAATAGTATAAAAAACGAAAATTAATTATTTTTCTGAAAATACGTGTCTTTAGGAAAGTTCCTCTCAAGTTTCAAGCAATTTCATCAACTAGTTTTATTTTTGGAACAAAGTTTGACAAGAGTTATGTAACCTACTTAGAATGCAAGTAGACTGAAGTGAAAGGGTTAATCCATACAGAAAAATCCCAAACAGAACAAAGGAAAAACACACAGCCCAACATGACATAAGAACATAGAAATTAGTTGGATTTATGAGGCAAAATTCAACTGTAAGTCCTCTATTATCCCAAGAGAGAAAATAAATTCATTACTTGAGGAAAATCATCTATGAGTCCAAGGTCTTACTGATGGAAAACCCACTAAGTAGTATGCTGACTGACACTGGTTCTACAGCTACAACTGATCAATATAATTTTGTTAATGAAAGATGAGAAATTACCTCCGGAGATTAAAAAAATAAGATTGTGACGTGAAATGCAAGAGAATATAAGGTTCCTGCAAGAGGTCAATCTGAAGTTACCTTTACTGTAAGGAATTTTCTTTTTGTGTTGTATATAACATTGAGGAAGAAAGCATATTGGGAACTGACTTGATGCAGAAACACAGATGCAAGGTCAGGCTAGCTTAAAACAGCTTCACAGTCTATGACCAGGAAATCCCTGTGCACTACATGGAAATTACTACACCAAGAAATGAAATAATTATATCAGCAGTTATTAGTAATAATTAATAGTTATGACATAAATGCTGATAAAAATTATGGAAATTCTGCATGAGATTTACATGGGCAGGTGGTCATGTGAATCCTTTGGAGGTGTTTTGGTCAGAGAATGGCCAACTGGATAATTCCATAGAAGGACTTAAGTTGAACATCAACCTGCAGACGAGCTCAAAATATCTGTTAAGTCAACTTCCAAAGGCTATTACAGTGAATGAACTTTGGCTTAGGTTGCCTATCCTCTGGATACCTCCTTAAATTTGAGGTTTGTCCTCATGTGAAACATGAACAGCCAGTGACAACAGTGAACAAAGCAACATCCCATCTTTATACTACAGACCTTGGAAGAAAAAACCACCAAGAAACTTGGTGAATGGACAGTTTAGTGTTTTATTATGTTTTGTATTAGGATTGTTCAAGAGGCTTCACAATCCAGGAAGGGGGGCAGAGTTTTAAGCTATATTTTTAAGGTTGCAATTTAGACATTAGCTGGAGGATGCATGACAATAAGATCTAGTAAGTTTGTGTGAGTAGGTCTAGAGTATTCTAAGTTGATGTCACGAAAACCTAGTAACTTTGCAAAATATCTAGAAAAAGGATTAGAAATAAGTATATGGGCTAAGCATCCAAGTCAGATACTCCTAGGTGTTTGACCAGGAATTAAATAATATCAAAGCACAAACTTGTTCTTAAATTAATGTACAGTGCAATAAAATTTTAATTTCTACATTATGAGTCATGTTACACAAATAAGCATATACAATAAAATGTTATTTTATATGGAACATTTAATAATAAATCTATTCACTACTTCCTATGTAACTTGAACACAGCAAGTTATCTCACAATAAAGCAAAAAATATCTGTGGTTGTTTATTTAGTTTTTTACAGTTAATACTGGTGGCTTAATATAAATCATATTATTATGTAATCAGTGCTTTCTTTGTAAATGTTCCTTACTGTACTACAAATAGTAAGTGATAAAAGATTTTAGAAATACTGTTAATTACTAAAAAAAGTTATCTTCATTAAATCTTATGTTAATTGATTTAGTTTCAATTGTAACATTTGACTTGCCTCTACTAATAAGATATTCATAATGGCAAAAATGTGAATCATCAGCTACAGAATCTGAATTAAATTTGAAATATATATATCTTTAGTGAGTCAAAAACCTTTGTTGCAACGAGCAGTGTTTTACAAACTAGTCTATATAACTGAACTGGCTTTTAATGGCTATCTAAAATAAATCAGAGTGATAATGAACTATGACTGCCATTATCTCAACTTATTTTTTCTCATAGATCTGAAAAGTACTTCAGTTTTTTCTGTGTAGAAATGTCTATTTAACCATGAACACAATTAAGTAATTGAATTGCCTACTCAACCTTCACTTTCCAGGGATTCATTATATATTGGCTATTCAGCTACAAAATGTCATGTTTTTATTAAGTACTGACTATTTAAATTTCAAATGTGATGGATGACACATACAAACATCAAATTAACCTTCACATGTAAATGATTCAACCTCTTCTTGGCTATTTGACCTTGACATTTTTTTTTTTTAATGAACCATGTCAAGGATACTAAATATTTTAAATTATTAAACACAGAATAAGGTTGGAAGTAACTACAATAAACTTGTGTTCAAAATCTTCTTAGTAGTATTAATTGTATAAAAGTTTCGGTCAGAGTGAAAAAAACAGCTTTACGTGACGTGTGAGAAGTTCAGTCTTTTTAAACTTAGTTGTTTTTTTTCAAATATTATCTAGTTATGTATTTGGAGAGTTTTTGTGTTTATGTTTTACAAGGCCTAGCATAAAATTGAAATATTATAATTTCTATCATCAGTTAATAAATCATGAATTGTGATTGGGTTTCTCATTATGTATAAAAGGAAAAAAATTTATCACTAAATATAAAAGTTATGTAGGGCTGGCTACTGAACTTGAAAAAAGGAACCAAACAAGATATGGATGGAAGTGCACATATCACTTGATCAGCTAATGATCACAAAGCAGACTAAGCTGTCTCGACTTTACCTGATGAATAAAATCCCTACATTACTGGCTTCCCCACCTTGTCAATCAAACTGGAAATTCTGGTTATATTTGTTTTGTCAGTGCAGACCTTAATAATCTTTAAATATCCTAATATCAAGTTCAGATGTGAACTTGATATTTACATCTCTGGGCTTTGCACTCAGGACTTTCTGTTTTTTTTTTCCTTTATTTTCTGACAGAGTGTATTGACTTTAGCCTCTAAAGCCATGTGGCAATGAGATAAGTAGCAGATGATGTTGAATTCTTGGGAGCCAAGGCACCACAGCATTATAACTGGTGGCATTATAGTAAGGCAATACTTTATTTAGATATTCAAATATAATTAATATTAATATCATGGTTTCTAAATAGTTTCCTGCACTAATAATAGTTGAAAAAACTAACTTTCCATAGTAAGACATTTTATTCTTTCAAATACATTATTACTGAGAAAAAGTCACCAAGTTTGTATGCCACATTTTTCACCTTTCCACTGCCATTTTCAAGTTCAAGCATTACTACTTTGTTGAATCACAACTAGCAGAATTTCTCCTTGCAACTACTGGTAATCTCTCACTGTGTGTGCATTTTGGTCAGAGACATTCCACAGTATTTTCATCTAGAAATGGTGATAACAACAAGTGTACTAGTTGTAAGATGGCAGTGATCTATCGAGCAGAGCCTGATTTAGAAATACTGTTTACCACTGATCAAGCAGACTTTCAAACTCCACTGTTTACTTTTGGGACTCATAACAATGGTTTTCCACAGTATATGCAAGAGAACTTCATTTTCAACTTCTAAATGTGTGTGTATGTATATACCGACACAAATATTAATGACAATTCACAGCAATATGAATATGTGCTATAAATCTTCTTTTACTGTTTCCAGTCTTATTCAATAAACTCACATTAGGCCTAAACAAATGTGACCATTCTAATGTGAGCAAAGTTATATACTGATAGTGCCTGTTAAATGACTGCAGTACTGTTTCCTAGGGATTGTCATGGTTACTTGATGCAATACATCAAAAAAACACTAGCTGGTGAAAATCAAAATATTTTTATAATTTAGCAAGTATTGACATCCATCCATATGAATATCTGAGAATATTTCTACCAAAATAGCAGTGAAGAAAAATAATTCATTTTGAGCATGACAATGCTATTTTATAGTATATTTTTTGCATTTAATTATGAAGTAATCTTTCTCCTAACTGTTTTAATACACCTTAATACTAAAAATTGAGAGAAAGAGGTATCTTGAAGAGGTTCATCAGAACATCTGGACAAATAGGTATAAAAATCGGAAAATAAAACTGTCCATAGTGAACAGCTTAAGATAACTGATATCCTTGAAAAGTTTAATTAACAAAAATTATGTCAAGGTTAATTAGCTGTTTGTATATGTCATCCTTCACATAAGTTGCCTCATACCAAAATGAAACAGCCTATGAAACATTTACAGGTCAAGGTTGAATAGGCAACTCACATAGTTAACCATTATCAAGGTTAAATACACACTTCTTCCTTTTCCAATAGTAAAAATAACAACATTTAATATCAATATGTTTTTTTCCATACACTTGAATTTGAATTATTCAACTATAACCTACCTAAATGTCCAAGTTCTCTTAACCCTCAAATTACTCATTTGTTTTTATACCATTCACAAAATGGGGTCCATAAATAAATTGCATCATATTGAGCAACCTTATGTTTTTACTTGACGCTCAGTGTTAAACACTGTACGAAAGAAAATTGGATAGAATCACACATTTTATACATAAACTACATAAAAAATTCAAGTAGCAATAAATAGAATAACTTACAGTATTGATCATATTACTGTTTCAATTTTTTTTCTGTGGTTAATGATATTAGGAGTTCTGTATCAAAAAAGTCATGGAATCACAAGCACTTTGGTGCATAAATAGCTTAGAAAAAGTTTCAAAAACTATGGCAGTCCATATCAAGTCAACTCGTAGTGTTGGATATATAAGACTGTTCAGTTTAAGAGTTATTATTTAGTTTATTCAGTGATATAATATTTATTGATTATTTAAGTTTTCATAACAAGTTAAAAGTTAATTATTTTAAAAGCAATAATTATGACAAGTTTTGTTACGTAGCTGTACAAGTCGTACATTGTGTATGCTGTTTAATTGTAGTACTAGGCTTTTGTAATATTGTTGAAGTCATCTTAGTTGAAGTTTCCAAGTTTTTCTCCTTATGTATAATATCAATGTTACTAGAGGGCTAGATATTTCTAGATTTTCCTGATACGTGTTATAAATACATGCAGATACAAAAAATAATTAAGTTATGTTAGTTAGTAAAAGTGAAAAAAGTAAAACTAGACTACGTGATTGCCAGGTTAGCTGAAATAGGCAATTTCTACAGTGAAATTTTCACAGTTTGTATTGTAACAACAGAGATAAAGAAGAATTTATCTTGTCAAAGGGCATTCTAAAGTAAATGAACCATTCAGTGTGGACTTTGACAAAAAGGACACAATTATAACCAACAGTTATAATGGTAATTTTGAAGTGTTTCACAGCTTGTATTGTAATAACAGAGATAGAGAAGAAGAATTTGTCTTGTCAATTGGGTTCTAAAGTAATTGAACCAGCCTGTGTGGACTTTTGATGTAAAAGAGAATTATTTGATGCTCTGGACATAATTGTGGTGACCCACAGGGTAACGTAAGTGAATTTATCACTGACAGTATCGTAATAGTAGAGGAGAGAAGAAATAATTTGTCTTGTCAAAGTGTGTTCTAAAGTAATTGTACCCACCTGTGTGGACTCTGATGAAAAAGAGGAAATTATTTAAAACTCTGAATACAACTGTGATAACCAATAGTGTAACAAATTCTTGTACATACATTTGACTTGTTTTGAATATATTATCTTAAAATAAGTGAATTGTGTGCTGTCTGTTTATCATTGTAATTTATCATCGACAAGTCACAGACACCTACAGTACAGAATCCGACCCTATAAAAACCCGACAGGTAGTTTTAGGGTTAAATTATAATTTTTGCTTAATTGAATTCTATTTATTTATCTTCACCTGTTTAATAAGTTGCTTATTTTTTCCCCTCTAAAGTTTAATTTTGCACTTAGTTACTGACAGGTAAGTGATGCTACAATTTTCTTTGGGTAGTCTGTGCAGTGTCTTTTATTGACAAAGTAACAAATGAATGTTAAAAAATTTGAATAATATTAATTGTAAACTCATCAAAGCCATGAATTGATGTATACACAAAGATTAGTATCAAAATAATGTCTATGATATCAATGTGCAGTTACATATAAAGAACTAAAAACTTCTGTCTCTACATTCCAGTATACCACTAATTTTGTTTTTTTAAGCCTAGAACTGAGGCTAAATTGTCAGCATCAAAACAAAACAAAAATGAAATATGTTTGAAATACTAAGTTTTGCTAATGTCCATTTCTAAATGAGAAATCCTGCCAAATAAGAGTTTATTGATTTAAAATGGTATAAATGTTTTTATCTCTTAAATTATGTTGAAATAAAGATAACAAATTCAAATCTTACAAAATGACAGATAAAAAATATATAAGAATTTGTTAAAATGCACTATTACACAGATTTTGAAATTAATCATTAAGTTTGCAGTTTGGTATAAACTTAATTAGTATACAAAATTTTTAAACAAAAAGCTTCAGTTTTAGGGACTCAACAATGAGCCTACTACAGGATTTCCCATTAACCCCTCAGACCTTCTATATGTTTACTGTGGACACTCACATCATGTGCTCCTGCAGCATAGGGTTGCACAGTACATCCATGCCTGATACTTGCCAAATCCTGGTTATATCCCTGTAATATGCAAAACTTTTAATGGTAAGTTAAAAAATATATTAAATGCTCAAGCAGCTTTCATTCTGAATTAACTTTTAGAAATGGCAATTAGAACTGGGTGATTAGTCAAGCTTATTAATCAATTATCAACTAATCAATTATTCTTACAAGATAGCAATAAAAAAAATCTTCTCACGAGCTGATAAAAGACAGCAATAACTTATGACACCACGATTCAGATTTTAATACCTCATTGTGTATATTTGCGCTTAAACATAATGGCACATTTCAATTACTTGGATAGCTCAAATAATCAAAAACCCTAATTAAATAAGCTAAATATACTTGAATTAATCGAAAATAATAATGAAAAATCATAATGATAATATTTATATTACTGAATAGTTGGAATAATCAAGAACAGTAATAATCACAAACATTAATTTTGATCAGTTAATCAATTTAAATTAGTTGATATTAATAACTTAATTATAATTTTGATCACAAGATAGTTGGAATAATCAAAAACAGTAATAACTGGAAACACTAGTTGATTATGTTTGTGACAATAATTGAGTTAACCACAATCAATCAATTATTTTATACAACACTAAAGATGTAATCAATGCTCACAGGTAATCAATTATATTAATTAATCATGAAGCTCTTATTGCAGTATTTGTTACAGCTTTTATATATTCCCAATGTTCCCAAAATCAGCTGTCTGGCTTCCCAAATTAAACAAGAACTGATGTAACTACAAAGCTACAATTTACACACACAGATTTCTTAAATTCTATCTAAAGGTAAAAAAAACATACCTGACCATCCGTATGAGAACTGTTATGAGACTGAAAAGTTTTGTGAGACCATGGTGAATAAAGACAAAAAGAATCACGTGATCCATCAGCATCACTTGCTGAAGGTGACACATTGTTTAGGCTTAATGATGTTGTAACCTATAAAATACATTTTAAAAACTTGCATTTTAGTGGTATTTTTTCTTAAACTAAGGAAATTATACAAAAGTTTTAAATAATACATTTCATATATGTATACAGCAAATCGTATTTCTAAAACAAAACTATTGGTTAAGGTATGCATGGTGAAAAACAACAAATTAGTTATTTAGAATAGTTAAGTATATACAATAAAACAAATAAGCCCTTTTTTTTGAAAAGGTTAAAAAATTTAAGTGAACTCAAAAGGCCCATGGTCCTTAAAAAACTACAATTATGGTCAATGTGGGCAGTGTCATCATTTCCAAAGTGAGGAGTAAAAGTTGTATTATTGTCAACAGAAGTCCTAAAACTTTGTCTCAACCACCTCATTAATTCTCTCACCACCCATATAGAGATTGGAATCTGGGTGCAATCACATTAGAGAAAGAAATGCATGCAAACTATTCTAAATAACTGAATTTCAAGCCTTTGAAGTAGTTCACTCACACAGTTTATTGAGAGCAGTTTGTAGCCATCACTCAATGTACCTCACATATGATAACAAACAGAAAATCTAAAATTCATTGAGATATCGGTTATTTCCAAATTTGGAGGAAGTTCTTCAGTGATGGCATTGATCTTGATATTAAAAAGTGTGAGATTCAAGATGATGTACTTAAGAGTTCCTGTGAAAGATTGGGATAGAGTTGATCCCCTACAGAACCACAATGATCTCTTTGCTAAAACATTAATAATAGAAATTAGTTGGAGAAATTGGAGAAAAGGTTGTTTGGTTTGAGGTACAAAACAAGAAGAACATTAGCTATACTCTTTAAAACATAACCAATAAGCTAGTCAAAGCAACAGAGCTATAATTAAAAGCAAATTTGGGATCCTTCCTGCACTTTGGGAAGACAAACACCCAATGCCATAAATGTGGAAAATATTCCTCCTGCCAAATCCAGTGAAAAAAGAACCCAAAGAAGATTTACAGAGCCAAAAAAGAGGGAGCACAGCATCTCATAATAGATTTCATCAGATCTGATCAATACATATTAAGTTATACCAGAATGAAAGGTCAATTACTAATTACACTTATAAAGACAATCAGGTGAAAAGGAAAGTGAGGTTTTTGTCCTGTATCTTGATGGCCAAGAAGATAGATGAACAGATAGAGGTGCATGAGTGGTAGTCACACTCTGCAAATAAGTAACTTCTTGGCTACTAGACTGAAATGTATACTTCCCATTCACCATTTAAACTTTTTCATAAATGACCTTTGAACAGAAGGTGAAAGAGATGAAGAGGTGAATTAAATCCAAGACTTCTTCTGCCTTTGACATCTGATCAGCCCGGAGAAAAACCCAGCCTTCTGAAAGGCTATGTGGTTAAGAGTGAGTTACTTGTAAAATATATGGCAGTTTTGTTTCCAAGTCCAGATACATGTACTATATAACCAGTTACTGCCTCCTTGCAGTTGTTAACATATTAAAGACATGCATAAGAAAGCTCTGAGACACTGGTGAAAGAGGGCAATTAACCTTTTTCAGTTTCACCATTAGTCAGACAACACCAAGTTTGTGAAATCTCCCTCAGAATGATGGGAAATAATCACTTCTTTATGAAGCATTAACCAACTTTCAATAAAACAAAAGGTGATAAGATAAACAAATGGGCACATCTACAGCAGTAAATGTCAGATTTGGAGCATGGAAGTATGTATATTCTCTAGTAATGAATAGAGAAAGGTTGTGATATGAAAGCAAGTACTCCACAGATGTACCTCTCCCATTAATATCTCCACCATCACAAAGGAGACTGTATATTTAAGTATGCTCAGTAAGATCATCAAGGTCTGTTTGAATGACCACTTCTCCAGGTGACAAGTAAAGTGAGCAAAGTGTGAGGGTATCACAACTGGAAATACAGATGGAATGACCTCCAAAGGCGTAGTAACTTGTAATGAAGAAGTATGATGCTCAACCAGCAGGATTACACCCTCATACACAAGGATACACATACAGGTTGATAAAAATTGATCAATGCCTTAATATTTTGTAAATTAGCAAATAATCCCTGACAATTCCAATGTATAAGAATAGCCATTTTCAAAAGGCAATTAATGAACATAGGGCATTCAAAAAACCCTTTTCAGAATTTTAGAAAACTGATGGTCCTATCCAGTTGTTATGAACCACATAACTTCAATCTCTAAAGTCTGCTTATGAAGCAACATTTAAATTCATAGCATAATCTATAATTACATAAAAAAAATTGTTATTAGTCTATTAAATATCAATTATTTTAGAAATAAATGATTGAAATAAACATTCTCAAAATTTTATTTATTACAAGAATTAAAAACAATTAACTAAGGAAATTAACACTAGAGCTGGTCAATATAACTGATTACCTGCAAGCAGTGATTTCATCAATTAGTGTCTCTAAACTAATTGATTAATGTCACAAAAATTATCATTAATTGAAAGTAGTGTTTATGATTATTACTGTTTTCAATTATTCGAACAAATGATTAATCAAAATTACAATTATATCACCTATCACAAACATAACCAACTAATACAAATTAGTTGTTACAATTATCTCAACAACTGAATAATCAAAATTGATTAAATTGATTGTCATAAAAATAACTGGCTAATCGAAATTAGGGTTCCCAATTATTTATTGTTTTTTATTATTCCAACTATTCAAGTAATTGGAATAATGCCATTATTTTTCTTTGTTGATAAGCACAAAGTTACATAATGGGAGGTTGCCTCATGAGTTGAATATCTCAGTTCGACTTCTTTGCCACTAAACTTGCTCTTTGTAATTGTTAAGGTACTAAGGCTATCTGCCACTGTCATTAATTTTAACCCCCAACTAGAACTAAAGCAACTGGCTTACAGCACCTATCACCAACTCTTTAGCTATTTCAGTGTTAAATAGTGTAAATTTATTATTGTTTTTTTACATTACCTTTATAATTTATGTTGTATAAGCAGGTGCAAATCTAAGGGAGGGATCCTGACTCCCTCTGCCCCATCCATTTTTTTTCACAAGTTAATGACTGATTCTTTGATGTTATATAGTCAGTGCAGATAAGGGAAGGGGTTTATAGGGTCCACTGCACATTTCTTCAGGAATTAATAATTATTCTTTAATGTATAAGCAGGTGCATTACTAGAGGATGGGTCTAGGACATCTGGACTCCTCCATTTTTTTCCAGGAATTAATAATTAAATTATTTAATGTTGTATATGCAGGCAAACACTCCTCAATTTTTTATTTTTTTCAGAAATTAATAAAATAAAAAAATACCAACTGTCCTTAATCTACCATATAGTATCAAACAAATGTATTTTTTTCATTTGGCTATTAATTACATAAAAGCTTTCCTGGGGTTTTCTAAAATCAACACAGCTGGAGTAAACAGTAATCTAATTAAGGCTTTAACCCTATCGGCCCAGGTACCCTTTACTGTGCATGACACAAGGTTTTAGTGTCTTACATTCAAAATGTTATTAAACTACTTTTTGTTTATGTTATACCAATTAGAATAGCATAAAATCTTAGCTAATAATCTATATTTTAATAGTATACAAGTTTTAAGTTCTTAACTCTAAAAGGAAATACATAAAAAAATCCTGAATTTCCACAAATGTAACACAC